TCCGCTTTGCGGCTGTGAATTCGCAGCACTTCTCTCTCACATCCGGCGTCACGGTCGTTGATGCGCGTGAGGCTTTCTGGTAGTCGTGCGGCCAGTGCATCAACACCATGCAAAAATGCCACGATAGGCGGGAACCAAAAAAACATACAACACCAGGTATTCGCTGGTCGTCACCGACCCAACTACTAATCCGGCCCTCATTGGATTATCTATGGGAGAGCGGACGGGATCCCGAGTTTTCCAATGGGTATGGTCGTATGTGACCATTCGAGACAGGAGAGAAGACCAAATTGCATGGAGATTCGCCCGAGAGGTGTGGGAGGAAGCCAGCTCGCCTTCCCTCAAACATCCTCAAGGGAATATCAGTGGGCACTTACTCAATATCTATCTTTCCATGCCGATAAGTTACAGGGAACGCGTCGAGATTTCCAGTCGGGCGGGGGGGCACGGAGTGGGGTGATGCTTGGTTTCGGTCTGGCTGATGGCCTTGTTATGTGATTGGCTGGTTAATGTGGGGATTGGGGCGACATCACAAAAACATCTACTACCCTATTTACCTATTTCTGGACTCACATCATCGAATACGACACTGAAAACTGCATTTTCATGATCGCTCAAATCCTGGCTTTAATTGCATGCTACTTTTACCTATTTTACTATAGAAAATCTCAACGGCTTCCACCCTGCTGTGAACAACGGTTTCTACCCTTGTCTCAACGGACCCACCTAATTCTATGGTGGGGCGTTCAACGGCTTCCGACGTAAGCCATCGTGGACGTGATGTTAGTTATATCTAAGGACAACTAGTGAGTAAGACTTCAGCACCTTATTAATAAAATATTTAACTACTCATAGTATATAAACAATAGTATATAGTAAACAAATAATATTTTATACCCTTAGATACAGCTAAGTAGCAGCATAAAGAGTTCCACCTTTGTTAGTCCTCCACGATAGCGTGAAAGATTAGTCTTCTGAAGAACCGCACTGTGAAGGTATAATATCAATCTGTGAGACTGTAAGCGCCAGAATGTAGGAAGGAATCATGTTGCCTTACAGTATCAGAAGCTAGATCCCAGCGTCGACTCAGAGGAATGTTGAACAATGTCCTGCATTCCAATATCAGTTTTACGTGTTCCCTCACTCATTCTGTGTCATGGGACTTACGGTGCTGATGCCCTACCGAATACAGCCCAATGGGCCTCGGCTCCGTAGCAGTACTCCCAGGCAATGGTATCGCTGGTGCCGCCGCTGCCCCAGAGACGGGCAGAAGCCTCCACGCCCATATCAATCTATCTTGTTGTCAGTCACGGGATCTCTTGGTTCGGAGGGTGTAGCTTCGTACCGCTGCATTTGGAACACCCAGTTCGCTGTTGAAGACAATTCCGAAGGTAATCATGGGAGTACTGCGTCGTTTGTGGTTAGTCTATTGAAGACCGCAATGCTTTTGGTGTCGCTCATGGTAACGTGCTGGGGTCACTTACACGACGGCCTCTACCATGCCCTCCGCGTGCAGGTTGTATGAGAACTGCGGCTTCGTGCTATTGGACTTTCCTCTCTGCTCGTTTTCGAGATCTGCCTTCTCCTTCTTGTCAGGATTGAAAGGGTCCGACCAATCCTCCTTGGGCGGATACTGCTGCATGAAGTCCCATTTCGCCACCTTGTAGGAGATTCGGGCGTTGCTGTGTACTGTTAGCCGGGGGACACGGTTCGAATGATTCCATGACTCACGCATCGATTGATGCCTTTCCGTTCAGTTCTCCGATCAAGCGGAACTGAGGACCGCAAGTCAATATTCCAGGGATCTGGAAGCTTGCACCTAGCGGGGCGAGTCCTGGGAAGCATATCGTTAGCATCACGATAATTCTCGGGTTACGATCCTTGCCCGAACGTCATGGCGCAGAAGTGCAAAGCGAATATGATGGGGCGGCTCTTACCAGCAAGCTCGGCAGGTCCAGTACTGAATCTCAACTCGGCGTTCGCCACGAAGTTGAAACTCGCCTCGACGTCTCCCTTGTTTCGGAACGTCGCGTGAGATTGGTCGAAGGACTTGAGATTAGACAAGTCGCCAATGAGACTAATGACGGCCGAAGTGTCGACGTTGACGGTCAACTCGGTCCAAATGTGTGCAGACACGTCCAAATTCGGACACGACTTGCTGTCCCTGAAAAGATTCCAGACGAAGGTTTCCCGGACGCTGTGGCGGACGAGGTCGTAGTCAATATCGACGTCTTTCTGTTTGTTGATCCAGTCCACGAGCGCAAGGGAGAACCACCGCTCGTGAAGGAGATGCTTCTCGTGTTCGGGGGTGGAGCGCTTCTCGGTACGCCATCGGTGCTCCAGGTAGCTCTCCCATGAACCGCCGTGGTCTGAGTCGACTTCCATGGCAACATCTCGCTTCGTCTTGCCAGGAGGAGAGGCTTGTTTGCGGAATTAGCAACATGAATATCACAGGAAGGGGTTGAAAGGGCAGATCCAGTTACTTACCAACGATTTCGTTCCAATAACCCGGGTTGTCGCTGTAATCAACCCGCAGTCTGACCTTGTTGTCCTGGCGACCCTGAAGAACGGAGTAGTCATAGTCGAAAGTCAAGTTGTACACCTTCGGCCTCTCGAACTCCATCCCTCTCTTTTGGAGCTTCCTCTTCACCAGCTTGGGCAGGGCCACCGGAACGTCGTCGTTCACCAGGTCGATGTCGACCGCCAGAGCATACTTGCCAGGACCGCAATGCTCCGGCATCTCCAAGACCGTGTTGGGGACACCACCCTTGAAGAGAGTACCGCAGTTGCTGTCCTCCGACTCGTCGGTGCACACCAGCTTGGCATGCTGCCTACCGTCATGAAACTCCTCGTCACAGTCGAAGACCTCCCAGTGCGAGCCGTCGCGCTTGTCGATGCTGCTAATCTGCTCTTCGGGCCCTGACATGATGTGCCAGCCGAAGGAGTTGAGGTTGGGGTTGTCGTTGCTGCTCGAGGACTTCCGACCTCCCATGGTCTGGTCGACCTCGACACCGAAGGACTGGTCGTCGGATTCCGGGATTTTGTCGGCGTCCGGGAAAAGGTTCTCCAACGGCACTGGGAGGCTTTTAAGCTCCACCTTGAAAGCGTCGCGGTCGCAGCACAGGCCCGGCCAGACGATCTGCTTCTGCCCCTGCATGTTGTGGATCGACGCGGAGCCGGGGATGGTGTACTCGCAGTTACGACCGCCACCTTCGGCGTGGGTGCCGAACTTGACCTCGTCTTGGTGGCACTCGGGGTTGCAATTGTCGTTCATGTCGTTCCGCCATCGGCAGGACGACGTATCGATGTCGGTGTCGCAGCAGAGGGCCTCCCAGCGGTTCTTCTTGCACTTGCCCTTGCGGAACGTGGTAAACTTCTTCCCGGTGCCGCACGGATCGTTCCCCTTGGGTTTCGGTTTGAGGATCTGGCTCTGGTCGACCTCGATGCAGTTGCCCTCGTCCCACTCGCAGAGTTGCGTGCCGCCCTCCTGGATCTTGCAGCAGTAGTCCGCGAGACCCTCGAGGCAGGCATCGTTTTCACCCTCGTCGTTGATGTAGTACTGGCTGGAGGTGATGCGCTCCTCTCCAACGTCGCAGGAATTCGTCGACTCGCAGATCAAGCCCCAAAAAAGGTTAGGCGCGCTCCAGCGGCAGGTTTCTGGGTCCGGAGAGTTTGCCAGAGGACAGCACAGGTTGATCATGGGATTCTTGGTATTGGAGCCCTTCTTCTTTTGAGCGCAGCGAACGGTAGCGATTGTGTTCGTTCCGGTGGGACAAGGGTCCTCGCAGCCTGAGGGTGTGTGAGCTGTGATGTTCCGCAGTGCGGCATATCATGAGCTGGGCCATTGCTTACCTGACCAGAAACAACGTCCGTCCAGGTCAACCTTCTTCCAATCGGAGCCGTCTGCGCCAACTCCGTTTCTCTTCTTGAACTTCCCGAGGCCGTCCGGCTGCAAAACAGCGTTCAAAAGATCGTTGTCCAAATTATCCTGATCGATGGCCCAGATGAAAAGTCCACGAAGTCTGCGCGACACCGCTGTTAGCGCTACAAGAATGATGCGGTAAGAGTTTTTTTTTACTCACCCCAAGTCATTGGCAAATTCGACCTTTTCTCGAATGGTTTTCTCGTTGTCGTATGATACCCACTGATCGCCCCGATATCTGGATAAACGTCGTCAGAAATGCAACAAGAAAACAATTTCAGACGTTGATACTCACTTGAAGTACATGACCTTCTCTTTTTCATCATAGACAGGAGTCGGGTTGTTGCTGTCGATAGTGTACTCGATGTCTTGGTATGACATATAGCCTCCAGTCCCCTACAATGATGTGAGCCAACAGTTCGTACTTCACACGCAAAGATACATCAGTGTCCAGATACACGGAAGTGGCACTTACCGAGCATTGTCCCGCCGTTCCAGGGTCCGCGAAAGCACACCCTGGGGTATCACAGTCTGGGTCTTCTAGCTTGTAAGTTCGGCCGTAAAAGGCAAGGCCCAAGTTGACCTTGTTTGCCGGCACACCGTTCCTCCACAAGAGATCGAGACCATGCTTTATCTCAGTGAGGTTGGTGTGGGCATAGACATACGGCCCGATCCAGTCAGAGTCCTCGTCCCAACTTCCGTGACTGGATTTAGATCTCAATTAGCAGGCCGGTTTTCTAGTCGAGATCACCACGATTGAGATCGTGACTTACATATCATAGGTCATCAGGTTGACCCAATCAACATACGGCACGACGGCGCCAATGTCAAACCAACGCATATACCAGTAAGAGGTCGGCGCGGTGAAGGAGACCCCCAGTCCCTTACCATCTGCCTGGAAACGAAACCAGATATCCTTCATCAAGAGAACAAAGTTCTGAATATCTCTGGTCTGGCCACCGCGGTCGGGCGCACCAGGGTACTCCCAGTCAATGTCAACTCTGGGCGCGTGTTAACAGCGGAAATAATAGACGGCACAACGAAGCTCACCCATCAAATCCCCACTATGATCCGAGAGAAAATCGTCAGCATGTATCAATCAGACGTCGTCGAAGCTACGAACCTCTGTCATGAATCGGAGGAGCTTGTCGACAAAAATGCTTCGCTTGAGTGACGTGCTGGCAATGTCGCCGAATACTGGCTGCGTATCGGTACCGTTGTCGCTGAAGGTCCAGCCGCCTAGAGCAAGCCAGACTTTGAGACCGGGCGCGCGCTGCTTGAGGTTCGTGACGGTCTGGAAACCAGCGATGGTGGCGCCGCGAATAGGATGAATCTCGTAGGTGTCGGGTTTGATGAAGCCAAAGGCCACGTTGATGTGCGTCATAGAGTCGAAGCGCACGTGGCTTATGTCTCTCTGCGAGCAGCCTCTCCGAAGGAGAATCCAGCTTTCGAAGTAGCCGATGACGAGATCGCGGACATCACCATCATGGCCCGTGGTGACAGCGGGGACTTCGCAGTTGCTCTGGCATCCGTCACCGCAGAAAGACTACAGATGCGATCAGTATGTAAGTCAGAAGTGGAAAGAGCGAGCAGGAACTTTCTTGTTCTTGTTCATAATGGACATTACCTCGGTGGTGCCGCAGTTACCCCATTTGTTGCAACACACTCTCAGAGGACATTCTTTGCCAGGTGGATCAGCGTACGCGCCGCAGTCGGCTTTGGAGTCGCAATCAGAAACGCAATCGGGACCGCAGTGATCTTCCTCGTAGCCACACTAAAACATCATTAGTGAGGGCTCAGGAAGCGTTGTCTGACCCCGAGAGATCTCTTGCCACGTACAAAGCCACTACGTCGAGATTAGCCCGGTTCGACGGTGTGGACGCACATTCACTTCATGAAGAGACGCACCTTTTCCCATTACAGCATGCTGTGGGATTTCTGCAAGGGTTTTCATTAGAGCATCCGGTTTGACGTTCAGAAAGAAGGTGCCCAGAAACAGACGGATTTGGAGATACGGGCGTCAGGCTTGAGCCAAAAGCAGATTGCGCAAAGAATGACAAGAAGAGTATTACAGTCCACAAGGAAAGTAGCCTAGGTTGAGGCGGATCGGACAATGTAAACAGCCCCATGATGGAGGAGTTTAGATGGTCTGGTGGACGCAGAAGATCTCCTGAATTACTGGCATGAAGTGTGTCAAAGATTGAGAAAGGTTGCCTTGAAACGTGGGCGGTAGGATAGTATCCTTCCCTACCTGATGATTTCTATTGCAAGGACAACGGGAAAGCCTTAGGATGCAATAATCTGAGTCGGTGCCTGTACGTATTTGGTGGTCGGCGAGCTCATAGGCTGACTGACCCAAACAGGACATGAGCCGAGATCGCCACATTCTCGGCCTTCAGTGTGCGAACAAATTTACTGGGATCTCGTTCCCACGAGGGCAGACCGACTGAAATCCACGATGAGCTAAAGAGATGTACCTCTACATGCGTGTCGTGGGTGGCACTTCTCGTCAATTCTCTGGGCGTAAGCTGCAATAATGCACGCTGCAGGGGACGCGGACGGACCCACAGAGGCAGGGGCCACTCGAATGCAACATCGAGTATTGCATCCATGCCCGGAATGTCAGATCCATCAGCAGCTTGCCTGGAATACTTCGTGAGAAGATGAATGAGGGGCCCGCTCGCTGGTCGCCATTTGAAGTCTGCTAACGGACCAAGCGATTGCACTCTTCCGAGTCCGTCTCTGAGATCCCGGCCATTTGAACACTAGAGATTGAGGACTCATCCGTTCCTAAGTCCTCGAGATTGACTCTTCTGTCTTCTGCCGTAGTTGTTCATTCTGGAGCAGAGATGGTGGTCCTTAGTATTTCTTTGGCCTTACTGGCTAGCCATATCCCCGGGGCATTGGGTCTTGTCTATCTTGCCAACATCACGAATACTCCCGATGGCCTTTCCAGCTCCTGCATTCAAGTACTGAACCAAGGCGTCAATTGCGATGCCGTGCTTCTGGATATTGATGCGGCCTTTTACGAGACTGATGCGGTGTTGATTTCATTGTGCACCACCGCTTGTACCACTGCTCTCACGACGTACCAGCGGAGAGTTGCCGGCGCATGCGGCAATAGCAGGTACACTGACCATGAAGGGTGGTCGTATCTAGCCACGTATGACTTTCAGGAGCGTTATGAGGCATACCAAGCTGTTTGTCTCCAGGACTCGTAAGTTCATGTTTTTCAAACTCTGCGGGTGGTATTTGGCTCGCTAACAACTTCATGTTCATCTTCAAGGTCTGGTCGAAGATGCAATGCTGCAATTCGCGACGCCCTTCACATGGACCCAGATGCGATGACAACATCGGCAGCCCCAGGTGCGTTTAATGTTTCAATGGGTTTAACGAAAGCCCATGGGTTGAAACTAACCAACATGAATAAAGAGCCGACTCTTCCCTGCGACAATTGCTTCCTCTCAAGCATTGCGTTGCGCATCCAACAACCTCTTGCATCGGACGAGCTGATAGCATCGAAGTTTTCATCTTTGACATCGTCTTGCGGCAGCACCACCATAGCCATTACAACACCAGCAGAAACTACGTGGGCTATTCCGTCAGTCACTCTCACGGTCAAATTGAAGTTATCTGTGGAGATTCACGATCTTGACTGACACCAACGTAATTTTAGCCCAACTTCTGAACCTATATCGACCCCCGAGTGCGTTGGGACGACGTACACCATACAGTCCGGCGACACTTGCTTGAGCATTTCCAAGAGTCGTGGTGTTAGTACTTCACAGCTGCTCACCGCCAACCACCTTCCGGCGTTCTGTTCCAACTTCCCCAGTTCTGGAACGATCTGTATTCCCGACAGCATTTCTTGCAAAACGTACGAGATGGTCAAGGGTGATAAATGCCGGGACGTGGCGTCGAGGAACGACATCAGCTGGACGCAGGTCGTGACCTGGAACCCTGAGCTCGGTCAAGCTTGCGAATACATCGACAACTTTGCATCTAGGGGCTACATCCTCTGCGCCTCGAATCCCGGTGGTTCTTGGGTTCACCCGTTCCCCGAGGACGAGGTCGACATGCCTTCGCCCAAAACAACCGCGATCCACCCGTGAGTCTTGACAGAAGCCAAAACCTTTCTCTAGAAACCAGCTAACATTCATCATAAAGCAAGCCAACCGTGGAGTTTGAGACTTTTGAAGCCATGCCGAGCCCAACGCGGGCAGATTTACTTCCTAACTTGGGCGTGCTGAATCCCCTTGCGAACGGAACACGTAAGGACTGCGCAAACTACGCAGAAGCGCCGATTGAGCTGAATGCTACGTTGACGTACGACTGCGAGGACGTTGCTGCGATCTACGATGTCAGCTTGGATGATCTCAAGGAGTGGAACCCGGATCTTGCGATCACCGCTGGCATTGACAGCGAGTGCGAGCTCCAGGGCGGATACCGCTACTGCGTGTCGCCCGACGAGCGACGATGGCCGGATATGACCGAGTACTGCGTACGAGAGACCGTTGCTGAGCCCGGCTGGAGTTGCGCGGACTACGCGTTCTGGTTTGGGGTCAATGTGACGCACCTCAACGAGTGGAATCCGGATATTGGGACAGAATGCGAGAACTTTCACACAGGTATGTCAAGTTAACTCGATAAATCCGCTCATCTGGCGTCGACTGACATGACAAACCAGGTTACACTTTCTGCACGGGTGTCAAACATTTCCGGCCCGCAGGTGAGGACTCTAACATCACCGGTTCTTGCTCAAGTATATGCTGATCAACTGCTAGGTCAAGTCTCAAGCTGCACCCGTTGGGTCATCGCAAACGCCACCGAAGGTGACATCGCTCTACATCCTTTCCCGCCCCAGAAAATTGCTAACCAGCGGATGCTTCATTGTAGCTGACACCAGTCCTTGCGATCAGTTTGTGAATAACATCAAGATCCCACAGGCTCGCTTTGTGGCGTGGAACCCCTCGGTAGGATCGGATTGTAAGTCTCAATCAAGGCCACTGGCTCCACAAGTCGCGGTTACTAACCCAGCGTAGGTTCCGGAGTCGTCAAGAACTACGACTATTGCGTTGCCATTCCCTCTTGGTCGCCGCCGGCGTAAGCAGTAGGGGTTGCCTGTGAGGAGCAACGAGGATAATCAAGCACAGGGCACATCATGTATGGTGGAGCTGGTTTGGTGGGCTGCTTTTCTGACTGTAACAATAATTTTACAACAAACTATCAATTTGGACTCATCTTATCCGCTCGTCACTCGCTTACCACTCGACTCATGTGTGCTCAAATGCAACGCAATCCTTAGACTTGGCAACTCTGCGCCGCTTTCGAACCCGGCAGCGGCGCGTCTTATGTCTCACGCCACTCAACAGGCGCAGTTGTTCGCATTTCAGTCCGACTGAACCCCTCAGGACTGTGTATTAAGTTACATCAGCAGACGAAGCCTGGATCACATTGAATGAGAGTCGCTGCCTGGCCTTGGCTTCGGCATAGAGTGGAGCCTCAAAAGAACTTCTGAAGGGCCAGCTCGATGATCCTTGTCAACGACCAGCCCTACCCTTCTCGGTCATTAAGATTAGATCGATTGATAAGAAGTTTTTGTCTCCTGACTGTCAACGATAATTTGGTAACAAGAAAGGAAGCGAATCTTAGTCCCGAGTGGCCAGGTCGAGTGGAGGATAGGCAAAATGATTAGCTCGTCTCCTGCTCTATTACCCTTGCCCGCTGAGCTCACAAAGGAGTTCGCCTCTCCCCGCCCTGCGATGTGGGTGCCGCAAATTAACGCGAACCATGCCAAGTGACAATATTTGGCACATATACTTCCGTCCACACACAGGCTTTCCTGAACCAACTGACGATCAAAGATTTGTTTCTACTCCCGAGATAAACCCTCAAGCCATTCAGCCAAACCCACATGCCCGCTCTTCCGCGCAAACCCTGCCGCATCCAACCCTGTTATGTACTCCACCGCATCAGCTCGGGCTCCGTACTGGACGAGAACCTCGGCAAGCTCTTGGTCCCCTTTGGAAGCTGCGACTTGTAGACCGGTCATGCGGGGCGTTGGCTTTCTCCCCGGCATGTCATCTTCCCATGGATTGGAGTTAAATGGGGCGTTGACGTCCACGCCCTCGACGCGACTAAGGGCGAGTCTCATGATATCCGTCCGCAACTTCCCATCCAGGTTTGAAGAACTGGCAATGCTACCCACCAGGCCTCCAGACTCCCATTCGTACAAGTCGCGACCCGGCGGCCTGACCTTGTCGCCGGGGAATATCGTGAGGAAGTCCAGAGCTTGGTCGAGTGATTTGCAGCTCGCCAGATAGTCACCAAGCGATGACACACTACAGTAAAGTCCCCTTGAGGCTAACGCAAGGTGAAGGTTCCTCAGCTTCTGGCTCCCAAATTCGACGCTGTCGTCCCTTGCAACACCAGGATCTTGGCTGCGTATTCCATGCTGCAGGAATCGCTCTGTCTCTGAGTTCACTGGATCATGCACCCAGCCAAAGTTGAGGATATCAGTCCACATGCTTATTTCGTCTGCCGAGTTGCTCTGTTGTTTTGGTGAATGCTGGTATATTGCGGTCCAATAGGCGGTTCGCGGCTGTAGCAGCATCTCGTTCAGGAGGTCAAAGGTGGACCTATCGGGAGGTCCCGGTAACACACCAATAAGGTATCTGAACAGAAGTGTGTGTCGCCTTACGTAGCAGATGACTAGCAAAAGATCGGCAATTTCCGGTAACAAAGCTGAGAGGTCGGTCTGGTCCTCTCGGCCGAGCTGGTCAAACTCGTCTGGATCATTTGTGATCCATAATCTAGAAGCGAGACTTTTCATCCTAGAGTAGTCTTGACGTGGCAAAATTCGAGTCAGCTGGAGCAGGAAGAAATTGCGCGTGAGAAACTCACCATGTTCTCCTAAAGGTACGAAGGCCGGATCGAGATACCGTGATTTAACAGCCCCCGCGAAGAGGTCCAGCTCTAGGAAGTCACTGATGTCTTCTGGTGGTACATCCCACTTGTGCTTCGTCGCTCCTTTCCTCAAGTGAGACAACACGCCATCCAGGTAATCGCTCAACGACAGATACTTTGCAGCATACTGGGTGGCAAGCCGAACGAAGCAAGTTTCCGTAGGGTCGGCAAATTCGTTCTTAATCTCGTGGTTCCAATCTCGGGAAGAGCGCAAGGAAACTCTCAACCCCGATCCTTCGGGATTCCTGTAAACTTCCATGTCGCGTGTCGATGATTCGTGGGAAAGCGGAAATTAGACTGATCCTCGGGCTGGAATCAATCTTAAATACTAGTATAAGGCTGTTTGCCTGATCCGTCTCCGCTCGAGTACACCGGTCAACATATGTGGGAATTGGGGGGCAGAAATGTGGCCCGATAACGGACGGGATTCGCATGAGCGCTTACCCGCGATTGGTTTGCTTCCAGCACGAAGGAAGCGGGGAGCTGGAGGAACGTGGGGGCCGTGCATCCGTTCGTCTTTCCGCGATCTTGGCGTTGCTCAAGGTTCGGACCGAGGGGCGGCAACGTCCCGGCTACATTTCCGAATCCGTCTGTAATCTCCACCCACGGCTTTTTAAGGCTTGGTGGCGGACGGCGCTCCGGGGCCGCCAGTGGGGCAGCGGGTCGCGAAGGATCGGACCCCAACCTGCTTGGCACGAAGCTGAACTCATCACCTCACGTCGATGCGGCCAAGAGGCACAGATTGTCATGGTTCGTGCGATGGATGCGTAGAGCATAGCTTCGACTTTGAATGAAGAGGAAACTGCCACTCCCCGCCTTCTGACTGTGAAAATATCCTGTTGATTCGTGATGACATCGACAATGGGACGATGAACGAAAACCTTCCGTCTTAAAACAGATTATGTCGGCTCATGCAAAGTGAAAAGAGTAAGAAATATTGTCAAGGAGAGTATGAAGATGTAAGTAAGTGAACCTAGAAAGACCCAAGCCCACAAGTCTGGAAATCAGCTGTCGACGATTGAACTCGTCCTTGTAACCTTTCCCATCTACCACCCATTGCTTCCGTAAGATCCAAACCAGTCTTGGCCTAGTCCCTGAGAGCCAAGTCCGTTGCTCTGGCACATGTTGGCCCGGGCCTGCAACTTGGACCGTCCAAAGACATTAGACGCCTCGTTGACCGATTGCAGACCTCGCCTGAACTTTATCGGGGAGCCAAGCTCGAACGTGTTGATGTTTTTTACTTCCCAGGCTTCTTTGGTGGTTGAGTCCAGTGCATAGAGTTTTGCCTGTCCCGCTTTCACCTTTCGCTGGAGGACGGGCCGCTCGTGAGACCAGAAGATGTTGTTCAATTCTTTGATCTGGTACTTCTTGCCTGGCTCGTAGAGGGCGAGTTCTGACGGCGTCTCCGTCATGATGATGATGTCTCCGTAGCATGCTTCAGCCATGGCCGCCGACATTTGTTGGAAATAACGGATGGTCGGTGGCACTGTTCCGGGAGGTTTCGTTGCCTCGAACTCTAACTGCTTTTTCCTGACAGGATCCAGCCAGCTTCCGGGCGTAAACATGGCGTAAAAGTCTCGGACGCCCGAGTGACTAGAAGCGTCAAGGCTGTTGGGGAACAGATTCTGTACGGGATCATTCGTCAGTTCCATCACTTCAAGGACCTTCAATGGCTTCCCAAAGACGTGTGAAATGCATACCCAGATTGTGTACCGGGCCTTCTGGGACTCTCCGCATGCCCATTCTGTGGCAGCAACGGACAGACCCGTTGCTGCTCCAGCAGTTGTGACACCTTTGGAATAGAAGACACACGTATCGGTAAGGGCCGCCTTGTCTCCTTTGATGTACCGAAGGAAGGTTTGCCAAGTCATGTGCTTGAGAATAGCCTCCGAATCCGTTTCGTCGAGGGCAGTTCCATCGTTCTGGGTAGGACAGAACACGCAGTTTGAAAGATCGAACGCAGGGCCCAGATTCATGTACAACATGTCCGGCTCCTCGACCATAACAGACCATGAGTCATCATCTTTGCTAGACGGAATGACGGGCGCAGGGTAACGAGGCACAGGAGAGCGCTTCCTGGGTTGTCGTCGGAACAGAGGCTTTGCCTGGCTCGGCTGAGGCTGCGTACCTACATCGCCGCTATACTTGAGTTGGGTGCCACGTTTGAACCCACCACTCAGGTGTATCGCAGTGTCGTCAAATTTGAAACAAGAAACCGTAGAGACTGACAAGAAGAACAGGAAAAGAATGGCACGAAGCCGCAAGGACAGAACGTTGGCCATGGCTTCGGGATGATTGATTGTGAAGACGCGCCAGGCACCGCGCCAAGCAGCTTTTGCGTGAAGAACGTGAGGCGGAACGAACGAAGGTTGTAACGAGTGGCAGTGGTGAAGAGGGAGTGTCGTCAAAGACCGACAGTGGAGGGGCACATCCACAACACGACGATGGAGCGACTTGCACCAGAGATGAAGGCAATACCGACCAAAGTCCGTAAGCCGGGCGACGGATGCTTGGGGGTGCTTTAGAATGGACAAAAGTCTTAGATTAAGCCAAGATAACAAACTACAGTCAGCGCATTCTCATCACGATACTCCATAGCACATTGCCCAAGCGTAGCAAAAGGATTCACAGGGGCAAGGGTTGTTGAGGACTAGAAGTTCACGCAAACTCAACTTTTAAGGAGGTCATGTGCTAACTTGAATTTGACAAAAGTTCCGCGGATAGATGCGGAAATAACAAGCGCAATATACATAAAGGAACTCAACTGATCACCCACGGCGAGGCAGAGCAGTGTCCTTGTCACAGTACATGATCGTAAAATGCCTGCCTCGCATGGGTTCGTGTGGTGATGATGCAGTGTAAGACCACCCCTGCCTGATGCAGGGGCAGCGATGTTCTCATTGGGTACACCTAGGGTCCTGACTGTCCTGCTCTCAGCTTGCATAAGCCTCGGGCGAGCCGTCTCGTCCGAGGTTTGCTTGGCAAGGTGACAGACCATGTGCCCTCTCATGTCCAGAATCCTGAAGTCCGGCTTGGCGCTTCGAGCTGTGAAAATTGCTACTCTATTTGGGGGGCATCAGGTGCTTCGGGAGATCACCTGGGCCGCGATAGATCACAGGCAGTGAGAAAACATGGCGGATTGAAGGAGCGAGGGCAAGCTAACGGAAGTTCAACTAGCAGGATGGAGATGAAGGGTGGAACTATTGATGCATCCGTCAGGCGCATGATTATTGTCAGCTATGCATGTTCGAGATTACCTGTTGCCTCTCCAAGTGAGTGCGAACCAGAATTATCTTACCATGGGTTTTCAAAAACTGTTGCCTAGAGGCGACGTTCTGTATCTTCACGATGAACTGACAGTACAATAGGGAATACAAAAAGAAGATCTTCTCAACCACGACTGCTTCTTGATTTGTAGCAGCATCACATTCTATTGGAATTGTGCTCTCGTTGTCGCACGCCTAATTTGGCCTTACACTCGTTTTTCAACTGATCCCAACTATCTTTTCCATATTCAACTCATCAATCACTCAATCTGAATATCTCAGTCTGGTATTTTCCACAATGAGACTCCAATCTTTTGCGGTCCTTGTGGCCCAGATTTCGTGGTCCGTCGTCGCCCAGTCATGGGATGTCGAGCCGCCTTCTACCGCCGATCCGAATACGCCATCAGACTGCACTTGGTGGCACGTTGCCGAGTCCTCTGAGACTTGCGACGCGATTGCAACTTCCTACGGTCTTGAAGTCTCTGATTTCACCTCATACGTGAGTGCTGCCCGTTCCATTGTCGCGTGTCATCCAGACTGACAAGACAGAACCCCTCTCTCGCTACGGCTTGCGAGCTTGTTACCGGAAACTCTTATTGCATTGAGAGAAACTGGGGCATTCCTCCTGAAGTGCCAGTTACTACCACCACCAGTGCTGCCTCGACGCCGACCAGCGACCCTGGTAATGGAGTCGTGACGCCAACTCCGATCCAGGACGGAATGACCAAGGACTGCAACAAGTTTTATTTCGTCAAGACGGGAGACGGGTGTGCAAATATCGCCAACAACAATGGTATTGCCCTTACAGACTTCTATAGCTGGAACCCAGCAGTTGGGAACACTTGCAGCGGTCTCTGGGCTGAGGTGTACGTCTGTGTCGGTATTGTTAGCGGTGGAACAGTCACATCCCAGCCGCCGGCAACGACAACTGCTCCGAGTAACGGTATCTCTACCCCGACCCCCATCCAGGAGGGCATGACGACTAGCTGCAATAAGTTCCACTTTGTCAAGATGGGAGACGGCTGCGCTGCTATCGCCAGCAGCAACAGCATCGCGTTATCCGACTTCTACGCCTGGAACCCCGCCGTCGGGGATACATGCGCAGGACTCTGGGCTAATGTCTACGTCTGCGTAGGCGTCATTGGCAGCAGTGCTCCTACTACCACGACTGTACCAGCATCGACCACAACGGCTGGTAACGGCATCTCCACCCCTACTCCTATCCAAGAGGGCATGGTTGACAACTGTAACCGCTTCTACATGGTTAAGACTGGGGACGGCTGCGCGTCTATAGCTTCCGCTAACAGTATCCTGCTGTCTGACTTTTATGAATGGAATCCTGCTGTGGGTAACACTTGCGCCGGCCTCTGGGCTAATGTCTACGTCTGCGTTCGCGTGATCGGATACACAGCCCCGGTCACCACAACGACAGCTCCCCCAACGACGACCACGGCGCCGGGGAACGGCATCAGCACTCCTACGCCGATTCAAGAAGGCATGGTTGGTAACTGTAACAAGTTCTATAAGGTTAAGAGCGGAGATGGTTGCGCGGCGATTGCGTTCAGCAACGGCATTGCCCTCGCTGACCTGTATAAGTGGAACCCGGCTGTTGGAAACACGTGCGCCAGCTTGTGGCTGGACACTTACATCTGTGTCGGCGTCGTCGGCTCGACACCCACTACTACTCTGGTTACGACCACCAAAGCTGGCAATGGTGTCGCGACGCCCACACCAATTCAGGAAGGCATGACTAAAAGCTGCAAGACCTTCCATCTGGTTGTAGGTGGTGACACGTGCTACGATATTGCGGCTAAATCGGGTATTACTCTGAATAACTTCTACGCCTGGAACCCGGCGGTCGGAAGCAACTGCGCAAGCCTTTGGGGCCAGTACTACGTCTGCATTGCCGTTCTCTAATTGTCTGGTGTCAAGGATAGCAATACCTAAGTTGTTGTAATGGTAGACCAGAATTTTAACAGCGGGCCGAAAGAGTGCCTAGTATTATATGTTTAGAGATCCCTTGCTGGATAGGCGTAACACAACTAAAGCCATACCATCTGTACGCACTTAGATATAGGAATTTTACGCGATCCCTAAAGGCTATGTCAACTCGTGCTCGCCAGCCTGACGTTGAGATATTGGCTTCAAAGAGAATGAATAGCATGTCATATAATGAGTCTGTGTCACAGCAGGAGCATGTACTTTATTAGACTGCGTGCATGTAAGAACGAAAGACGAGCCTTGTCCTCGAGACAGTACGTGTTAATGCTGATAAATCTTTTACTTGCTCTTCAGCAGTCTTGCTTCTGCTATTAACCATACACGAACCTCCAAGCTCTAATATGCAGCTGGTTGCGAGTTTGGACCGCGTTGCAGTTTTCTAAAAGTTAGCTGTCACGTATTGCTCCCCGCGTCCCGAAATCTCTTTCAGAAGGATGGGAAACTTGTATCATCTCCTTCTTGTGTTGATTGGAAGTACGGCATCTTCACGCCAGTATGGTTCCACGAACCCTACTCTTTGGCGGCATCAATAATCTTCAGATGTGAGCTGCTCCATGATTCCATTGACCGGAACTTCACATGGAAGCCCAGCGATGGACGCCGACAATTGGCAGTTGCCGTAATATGCTTCCCCCCATTACTGTTCATAAGTCGTCTGCCCTTCCTCGTTCTTTTAGTCCAGATTATCTGCTCTTCTCCAAGTCTTCCACCACCAGCGTCCTAGCCCTCATCGATTCCGACCTGCGACCCATCAGCGGTACCATGTCCTAAGGAAAATGGGTGTACCGCTATCTACAATCGTCCTGTAGCGAAGGAGGTGCTGAGCACATCGGCAACTACTGCGCCGATCAGATGTGGAATATCAACCACAACGGAAAGCAAGTTCCCGACGGCGTCATTATCTTCGTTTGGACGAACTGTCTCACGCGGGAGGCTCTGCCCATGGATAAGCAGGATCCTGCTTACCGTGTGCCCGGCGTTGCCCTCGATGTAAAGACGTCACAGAGTCTCCAGCAAGGCTGAGTCTGGAACACTTGCTATCTTTGGGACATAGACAAGGACGGGAAAAGGAGACTCTTCATGCGCGGCTCGGGGTTTCGCGATGACATGATCGGCACCAACGGGGAAAAGCTTTTCGAGGGCGTCAAGAAATGTACTCAAAACAAGATGGAGAACGCGAGCTTTGACCGGTACTACAACGGCTACCCGAATGATTCTCCCAAGGTTCAGGGCGCTACTTGGCTTTTCAAGGCAGATGTCCTAGAGAAGAGTGACCCAGATTGTTTCGGAAGACATCTGATGCTTATGGGCGCTGTCACACAAGATAAATGTCAATAAGCTTCCTCCTTTGATTATGGCAATACCAGTTTCACCGGCCAAGCAAGGGCACACAAGTTGAACGATGGAGCCTCTGGTCAAGAACTCAAGATGTTCATAGGATTATGAGGCAAGGTTCTAATGAACACCAAGGCTTCGAATTATGCATACCCCGTTGCAAGCTACGATGAGCCGTGGTGCCATTACTGAAGCCGTTCCACAATCCCTGAGTGGGTGTCTGTACTAGCCCATCTCCTGCTCTATTCGTACGACTACCTCCGATCTCAAATGACCACTGACATCGGCAGGCCGGTGGGCTCGAACTTTAAATTACGAACCAACTATGCAACAAAACTGGGTAAGAAACCGGGGATATAAAAGGATTCAGTTTAACAGCTTTCGATGCTCCCCTCAGCAAATACTTTGTTTAGCTCCATAAGCGCCGCAGACTTGCCAGTACACTGCCAACGGCCCGCGCCAAAGACAAGCTCAGTCTACTTCTTCCAAGATTGGACTGTGTCCGGATCATCTTTCAACCATCGTTGAGGTCGGAAGTCTTCAGCATCCTCGCTAAAAATATGTTTGTCGTGGGTCACGGACCAAATGTCGTGGCCAACTCTCGTCCCGGCAGACAACGACATTCCTCATATATATCTCCTTCTGGTCTAATCTGTTTCATGACCAGGCCTGTGAAAGGGGGCTGCACACGAAGACACTCCCAGATGACGGCCTTTGTTTCTTCGTCAGCAGGAGCGTATCACGCGAATGGCCGTTCTCTTCTCGAAATTTACTTGAAGAAACGGCAGACTTCGGGCTTCCTGGTAGCTTATGGGATCCGAAATTCCTTCCTCTGCAATTCCATTCTCAATCTCTTGTGTGAGAGCCTCGAGTACAGAGAGATTGGCGAAAAGGTGATGCATTGTCCACTTGATGGCTTTTGCTGCCGTTTGCTGCCGTATCGGATCCGGCAACCTTCAGAAACATAACCTCGGACTGTGCTGAACGACGGTCAAGACCACGGCGGAGGAATGAACCCTGTTCAGGCTGTGACTCTAAATGAAAACATTGGGGGACAGAAAATTGCTCACAAGTAAGTCGGGCTCGTCCTTCGCATCGGGCCCAAAGCGAGCGTCGACATGCTCTTTAGCAAGTCTATCCAAGTCAGCATTTCTATTCGTCAGTTCAATGCGCGGAGGGACATGATGCATGTTCACTCACCCCACAATCTTCCCGAAACCACTCTTATCAGTTGGCTTAGGCCCCCATTTAAGATCGTATATGAGTTACTGATGAATTGGAGGGTTGGTATGTCAGTGAAGAATTGGATATAGTCTATTGCCAAATTCGACATGTTGATCAGTCCAAAGACATCTTGATCCTTTTGAAGGGGGTCAAGGGGTTGCCCGAATGACATGGTCGATCGAGCATCCATACCGTAGTAGTCTGCAAGTCGACCAAAGTTTACTATCATCTGCTCTGCGATTTCTGCGTACAATTTGTTCAGCGGCCTTGAGGTATACTTTAAGCGAATTAACCCGACTAGCTCGATTATTCCGGATTTGATACTGGCTTCTAATCTGGGGATGTCCTTCCTAAGGTATCTAGGTTGTAGCTTCGTTCTCAGGGAATAATGAGCTGACTTATTAAGTATACTGCCTGTTATGTCGTCATATAGGTGTAGCTGGGTGCCCGGCTTTATACTAGCTGCTTCATCTATAAGTCGACTTAACTGCTAATATGCGCTTGATGAGGTCTAAATCAAACGTAATTAAGTCGTTTGGACTTATGCGAATGACTGAGAGTTGAACGTATTTGAAGTATGCGAGAGAAACCTGAGCGCGGATCTGGAACATGGACCAATATGGCTATGAACAAAGTTTGTTTGTTTGTTTGTTTGTTTAATATTTAACGCCATGGCGGCAAGGGCGCGGCCGCCCTTGCGGCAGACCTCCCGAAGGGTATGTGGCGTGGAGGGCCGCAGGCTCTAGCTATATACTCTGTAGTACACGCCTCTTC